ACTGCTGTATGTTGAGGCTCCTGTCTACTACACCTAGGCACACAATAGATGGAGCAGGTGCAACCAAGGAGTATGGAATTAACACATTAATTCCATCTATATTTTACGCGCGCGCGAGTCTCCTCCCTTCCTTTCACACTCGTGCGTGTGTGCGCGCGGTTTTCACCCCTTCCTTCCTCTCACAGCTAGACGTAGCAGTAAGCTGGAGAAAGGACTTCGCTAGCTCCTACTGATGAAGTCAGACTAACAGATTTTGAATTTTTTCCCGCGCGTTTTTCGGCGTCTCAAACGGCCAGCGTTTGCAAGCCAGTTGCCTTCCGACTTTCGACCTAACTAGACGGGCAACTCATTTATTCCGTGCCCTTAACCCATATGCGGGCCGGAATATCTTATCTCAACAATGTCGACTTCACACTTTACCAAGACTTCTTCTCGTCTTGAAGCTGCCCGCAGGTCAGACCTTCTCCGTTTTCGACCAGAAGACGTTCGAGACACACGACACAGTCGTGAGCAAAACTTCGTATTCAACAAGTGGCTTATTTTTATCCCTCGTCAGTCAATCGTAAATACAGACAGGGATATTCTTACTTACGAACAAACATTTTTCGTCTCCCTGGGCTCGCCGTAAACAACTCCACAAGACCATGAAACTCGCTTCAAACATTCTTCGTTCCTCCTGGCTAGATGCCCACAGCAATCCGGTAAAATTTCCAGCAGCCAATTCAATGCCTCACCAAAAACTCTGAGACGACCGAACATTCTTTCTAACTATGAACCTGAACACAAAAATACCACACACACTTACAACGCCAAAAAAAATCCACAGTGAGTACTCCTTTCTATCTGTGCGCACATACACCTCGTGTTTAACGAGTTCCCTTTTTCCAGAACCTTATAAAACCCTTTTCCTTGATCTCGTACCACGAGATAACCTACTTGTTTCCATCTAATTAAAGTTACACATGTTTTACAAACAGACGTCTTTGTCATTTTATTCCGGCTATCTCTTTGATGTTTATTAATTTATGCACTTGTTGATTGACCCCTTTCCTCTCACTGTTCATTCACGCATTATTACATTTTTATTTTTTTTTACTTTGCTTGTGGACTCGGTAGTTTAGTGTGGTGTCTGGCACAATGCCACTTTGTAATAAACCAGCACCGCACCCTGCCGGGCCTGCAACAGGAGCACAAGTTGAGGGCTGGGAAGAAAATGCTGTTTTCAAAAGCGGGCGCATCGGGCGGGTGTACACTATGCACTCCAATCAACAGGAGAGCTTCTTTCTGCGTCAGTTGCTGCACACTGTCAGAGGTCCTACATCATTCACAGACCTGCGAAGGTATAATGGAGAAGTCTGTACGATTTACGGAGAATCCTGCGCCAAACATGGTCTACTGGAGGACGATGCCCACAAGGACTAGACACTGGATGAGGTAACAGCCAGCAGAGCACCAAGTCAACTGCGCCAGCCATTTTCCATCATGTTGATGACATGGAGCTTGGGTGACCCTCTCAAACTTTCGACGACCCATAAAACCAGCATGGAAGAGGACATCTTATGAACGATTCAAAGGCAAACCTCAGCGAAAATTGTTACGTTCAATGGTGCCATTTAATTGACCTGGACACCCGAATGCAAGCTATAGGAGGCTAAAGAATTGCCACATTTGGCCTACCTCAACCTGATCAAGCAACAAATAATCTCGCAATTGAGGACACGTGAGAGATCAGTTATAACACCGAGGAAATGACGGCGTATATAGCTGATAACGCACACAAACTGATGGAAGGCCAACTGGGTGTTTATAACACGATTATTTCGAACATTGAAGGTGAAAGAGGAGATATATTCTTCCTCAATGTGCCAGGTGGAAGTTGCAAGGCATTCATCATCAACTTACTTCTGGCTAAACTTCGCCAAATGAAACATATTGCTCTAGCAGTGGCGTCAAGTGTGATAGCTGTAACCCTGCTAAGTGGTGGCCGCACAGTTCATTCGTGCTTCAAAATCCCTTTGAACCTGTCCAAGAAAGAGAAGGCAACCTGCAATACCAGTCATGGTTCTATAAAAGCTCCTCGGTGATTGCAAATTGATCATCTGGGTTGAGGTGACATAAGGGTTCCTTTGAGGATCTTGACGCGGCACTTCAGGATCTTAGAGACAACACACGGCTCATGGGAAGTGCAACAGTCTTGCTTATGTGAAACTTTAGACAAACCCTTCCAGTGATTCCGAAAGGAACAAGGGCTGACAAGGTAAACGCTAGTATAAATTCTTCCTACCTGTGGAGCAGTGTGAAAAAGCTGAGACTCTTAACCAACATAAGAGTACAGCTCAGTGGGGATGAGGAAGCTGGTACTTTTTTCTAAGCAATTAGTGGATGTTAGTAATGGCACTTTGGTTGGCGAGCAGGATGGCTAAGTCAGTTTAACTTTTGGACACATGGTATCTGATTTAAAGGAACTAATGACTAGGACGTTTCCAAGTCTGAGGAATCAGTTTACAGACCACAACTGGCTGAGAACTCGTGCCATTTTAGCGCCAAAAAAATGTGACAGTTGACAATATGAACATCAAACTTCTGGAACAGTTGCCAGGTGAGCGTCGCAGCTACAATTCCATTGACGCTGTACTAAACACCGATGAAGCTGTGAATTATCCAGTTGAATTTTTGAATAACCTAATACCAGCAGGTCTCCCACCTCAAGATTGGAGCACCAGTGTTACTGCTAAAAAAATCTGGATTCACCGAAGCTTTGCAATGGCACACGACTTACAATTAAGATGATGCCAACAATCTTGAAGGCAACAATTCTGACTGGCAAAGGAAGTGGTGAGGCTGTATTTTTTCCTAAAATTCCGCTTATTCCCTCGGATATGCCGTTCCCGTTCAACTGGCTGCAATTCCCGGCAGAACTGAATTTTGCAATCAGCATTAACAAAGGGAGAGTCCTTGGATGTTGTAGGCCTTAACCTTGCAGAACCAGTTTTCTCCTATGGCCAACTTTATGTGGGATGTTCAAGAGTCGGCAATCCCAACATTTGTTTATTTATACTCGACACGGAAAGACCAAAAATGTTGTTTATCAAGGGGCTCTGCAAACTTGATAAGAAACACCCAATCATTAGGTGTTTATGATTTAACTGTACTAATAGCCATTGATTTAAGCCTTTTGTTAATCTATATTCTATTTGTAAGTCTATATAAATCTATTTGGAGGTCTATTGTGAAACTATATGTCAGTCTATTTGTACATCTATTGTAAATTTATTTTAACACTAGCCCTCCTAAGGGACTATATTCTATGTGAACGCACAAAAGTCTTTTTCAGGGATCAGAATTTGGATAACCGATTTGCCTGTAAGTAGCTTTACGATTTTGGTATTAATAACTTATTGGTATTTCTTCCAGAAATACAAGGGGAGGCGGTTTGGTATTCTCTGTGAACGCACAAAAGATCTTTTTAATCATACTTATTTTGAATTGTTAATTTTGGATAATCGAAGAAAAGATATGAAATCGGGAACTGGGAATAATCTCCGCTTTACCGGGAATTTCCGGGTACGTCACCTAATAATTTATAATAAGAAAAAAGTCAGCATCTAAGTTCCAGTAAGGCATAATAAGTTTTCCTTCTACTTTAAATATTTTCCACTGTTGAAATTTTCTATTGACTATAATAAGGCAGCGGATTCATTTTTTTAAGCTTGTGAATCGACAATTCTTTTTAAGTGCTTAAATTCTGATGAAGGCGTTCATAATGTCACGCTTATCGACTGGGTGTTAAAAACTGTTATGTCAGATGAGCTTATGTCTACAATGCATTTAAAATGCAACATTCAACCATACTTTTGGTAGGTTGTTTTTGTTTTGTGGCATATCAAAACGTCTATGGGTTATTTAATGTCAAAATCTAAATACCGTATATACTCGTGTAACGTGCGATCTCGCGTATCGTGCGACCCCCAAATTTTCGCTTATAAAAAAATGATTTTATCATGTATCTTGTGTATCATGCGAGTTTCTTATTTGAGAGACCAAATTACAACAACATATTTTTACCTTATATCTCTTGATACCATCATCTAGTTAAATAAGTTATAAAAGTAAAAGTGAATAATAAAAGTATCGTTAGTAACGCTATACTCGTTGCGTAAACGCGTACAGCCATAAACAACCGAACGAGAAAAAGTTAAACATCTTATAAACATAAACAATGGAAAATATGCATATTCGCTGTCTGTATTTAATAATACCATACTAAATTGTGAATATTACATGCATTATTATTGGATACAGTTAAGTAAAACATCAGTTTTATCAGGATCATGATTATTTTAAATTCAGTTGTACTTTTTGACTACAGTAAATGGATACGCGTGTTGTGGCGTAATGGATATCAGCTCGGAAAGCCGAGAGTAGAGTTCGAATCCTAGTCGAGTTCGCTATATTCACTTAGGCACAAATAACCTTCTCTCCCCCCTCCCTTTGGGTTGAATAGCAAGGCAGACTAGGTTCTTTAGCCTTGTTGGCAACCAGTCCATCACAGAAAGAAATGGCAACCTAGTGTGGGGGAAAAATCATTTTGCCTAGTCTGCCATGTATCGAAGGATACATAATCGCCCAAACGTGTATCACTTAACTGACTGAAATGGACATATAGTTTGGTCAACGCCATGGCCAACAGTACATACGTTAATTTTATATCTTGTGTATTATGCTACCTTCTTAAAACTACCTTCAAAATTAGGTCTTCTAGAGTCTCATGCTACGCAAGTATATACGTGTAGTTTGTACGCAATTTTATTTATTTATTTTGGAAATGGTTTTAGTGATGGTACAAGAAGTCTTACTAATTAGCTCATACCAGGGCGGAGGGGGGATTACGTGGATTCATACCTGTCCCAGAGGGTATTTGCGCAAAAGTGAATATAACGAGCCCAACAGGAATTGGAACTCAGCTCAGTGATTAGCAAATTTCAAGCGATTATACAAACCTACAACACCTGGTATTCCCAAGCGGTCACCCATCTAGGTACCAACCAGGCTCAAAGTTGCTTAACTTCGATGATCGTACAGGAACCAGAGAGAAAAGAGAAAAAAAAATTTGAAAATCCAGAATCTTGACAGAAACACAATCAAGATATACTATTACTAATTAACTCAAATTTTGAAGAAATAAATCTAAGGGCATTCAAGAAATGAATTGCTAAATCAATTCTAATGAAATGATGGCAAACTTGGACTAAAAGAATGCTTTTCCCTTGACACTGCTAAATATTTTAACTACCATCACTCCGAGGCAATGTTTACTGTTTTAAAAAGCAATTAGAATTATAATAAAACCTAAACATATGAAAGTCAATTGATACATTGTCTTTACTATTTTTTTGTTTTCAATTCAAGAACAAACTATTTATTAGATCATTTATTGAAATGGTTGGCAAAACATTGGCTAATTGCCAACTGATTTGAACTTTTATAAAATGGTAAATATTTCCTTATATTTGGTTCACATATTTTAATAATTTAGTAGTTTATCAATAAAAAAAAATTTCATATTTAATTAAATTGGTATATGATAAATACTGTATTAATTTCTAGAATGTTGTAAATATCAATTTTGCTAACATTTTCCTCTATCACACTTTTCGCTTGTCTATTTTGGCTTTTTGCTTCCCAGTCAACTTTGCCCTCAATAAAACGGTATGTCAAACAGTTTGTCTTGACAATGCTATTATTTTAACCTTCAGTCCCTCAGAAATGTTTTTGTATGATTAGAATTTTAATAAAACCCAAATATAAGAAAGTGAATTTATACATTCACTTTGTATATTTACCAGGATTTTATATTTACAAAATTCTAAAAATCCAACCAATGTAATGTTTATCATTTGATTCATAAAGAAATATGAAAATAAACTTTGTTATTCAAAAAATTATTAAGAAAAATGTCAAACACGAAAATTTTAATAAACAGATGACATTTTTATAATCTTGTAAATAGACATTGTTGAAAGGAAGTTAGTACAAAATAATAATGGAGTCACAGGAATAACTGTCCTTTTGATACCATTTATTGTGGGTACAAAATGTCAGTTTGCCAAATATGAACTGTAAATAATTATGCTTCGTTTCATTAAGCTGACCTCTCAGTATATGTATGAAAGAATAGTTTTACGGTCATAACCAGTTTTGAACAGGTACCCAGTGTAGACTGGTACATGAACTAGTAGAACAAAATTTTTTAGAATAAGATGTTGCTACTAATACTACATGAGTAAAAACAATAGCAAATGTTGATCAAGAATGAAAAAAAATATTAGATTTGGGATTCTGCTAATCGTTAAGTTCCTTATAACTTTTCATTGGATCTACTTTCCTCCTCCTATCTAGAGCATATTCGTTTCTTAATTTTCAGTAAAAATAATAATTTAATAATTCTCTCATGGTTAAAGAACCATGCCACAGAGTATTAGGGTGGGTTGATTTTTCACGTTTAGAAAATTGACATTTCACTCATGAATAATGGGGTTTGATGTGATAAGTATGGCCACCAAAAATTAGATTCATCGCTTTCACTAGTCTGAAAGATCACATGAAAAAATGTACTGAAATATGTAATTTCTGCAGGTTCTTGCTTACAAAACTGACTTAAAAATTTTACTATTTCAAGAACAAATCCAAATAAAGTCGATATATTTTGTATTGGATAAATTGAATGGAAAATATATTCAAAACCAGAATTCTAATTAGGAATCAAAAAAAAAAAAAAAAAAAAATTGTAAGCTTACAAAAAAGCTACTCAATAAGATTTGTTAGATCATAGTGAAAAAAAAAAAAAAAAAAAAATTAGATAAAAGGGTATATATATATATATATAATATATAAATAAAACACCATAATACTGTTGTGTACAAATAAGACAAAATATTTTAAAGCTGCATAATAATAATAATAATAATAAAAAAAAAAAAAAAAAAAAAAAAAAAAAAAAATCGCAGTAAGACTACTGAACTGTGTAATATATTATATCATAATATAGCTAAATTGTTCAGTATAATTTCCCTTTGAAGTCAATGAAGGTCTTATTTGATAGCACAATGATTTAGTAATAATGTGCTTTGTGCCATCTAAAACTACAGTAAATGTTATAAAGCTGTGCTATAAGACTTTCACTGTTCACCAGAATGAAATTCCAATGCTATGATTTTGAACCAAAACTTAATCTTTAAACTATTTTCCTCAAAAAACAAACAATTTTGAAAAAATATTTTGCGTCCTTATTTATCATTTGAAACCCCAACTTTCAAATTGAGTCTAATACCATCGTTCCAAAATCGACCTGCCTGCCCTACTGGCTAGGGACCTCTTGCAAAGTAGATGCTATATAATTAGTGAAAAGATTATGGTATTCACAATTAAACATCATGAGATTGGTGACATGATATTGATTGAGGATTAAGTGTGTGTGTGTTATTATATATATATATATATATATATATATATATATTTTTAAAAACAGCTTATCAAACATTTATAGGTTGTTTAAAGCCAGAAAATATTGAGATTAAAAAAAAAAAAAAAAATATGCTTGAAAAATCAAGAAACTGGAAATATTGAAATGAATAAGGTTGAAAGAAAAAATAACATTAAAAATTGGCAAACTTGGACCTTATGTGAAAAAGAGTTCTTTCCTTGACACTGCAACTATTTTAACTACCTTCATACTTCGGCAATATGTTTTAAAAACCAATGATAAGAATTCTAATAAAACGTAAACATGAAAGTTAATTTATACATTGTTCTCGAGAATTTACAACAAAAAATAAACACTATTAGATTGTATATTTATGCTGTTTATTATATTGTTTATTTGAATGGTTGAAAAAAAAAAAAAAAAAAAAAAAAAAATTAGTTTATTGCCAATTGATAATTTAGTAAATGTTTATAAATTTATGAATAAAAAAATTTTCATATTTATTTCTTTATAAATTGGTAATTGATAAAAATTGCATTGCATTAGTTTTAAGAAATGTTGTAAATATAAAGTTTTTCTTGTAAATAAACAATCTAAGTGTTTAATATTTTTGCTGCAAATTCTCAAGAATAAAAAATATATAAATTCACTTTCATCATGTTTACATTACAATTGTAATCATTGCTTTTTGAAACAAACATTGCCACAGAGAGAAGGTAGTTAAAATAGTGCCAAGAGGAAACAAAAAAAAAAAAAAAAATGTCCTTTTTGACACTTTTTTTTTTCAGGCATGAAGGTCTAAGTTTAGCAAAAAATTAAAGAAACTTTTGTGCAAGCTAAAATGCTTAGAAATCATTCTTATATAAATAAATAAAACAATAGTTTAGAGAAGCAGATTTTATTATAAATTATTTTTTTTCATTTACAATGGATCAACAGAAAAAGAAAGCAATAAACGAAAAGCAAAAACTTTCTACTTTCAAATAATAAATGAAATTAATTTAGAAACATTTTACGTATCCCATATTTATGTATGTGCGCATTGAGGATACATTATTTCTTTTTAGGTGTTAGAGAAAAGAAAAAATGGAATCGTGGTTTTGATGAGACATGAACCTAGAAATATGGAAATGTATGTGGTTTAATGCAGTGGTTCCTAAACATTTTAGGGTTGTGTACCAAAACACAACCCTAAGCACCCACCCAATATATAGTCAACCTTTGAATTTTTTTGAATTTTCTTGCATGCTGAGTATCTCATAATTATATAAATGGGATACACTGTAAAGTGAAGGCAAGATACAGACACACATACTGTACTTGGGGTGTGTATATGGGGGGGTCAGATGTGACACTACTACCCTCTGGCTGCCCAGTTTTTTTTTCTCACTGCTCCCTCCAAGATCTTTCCACCATCATCAGGTGGAAGGTACTGCCTATTTTGAGAATCACTAGTTTAAAGTTAAATATTTTAAAACTAAGATAAGAGAAACTCCTGTCAACAAAAGAGCTTTAAAAGTCATGTACATTATACAAGTTAATGAAAGGGAGAAATCTGTAGAATCAGAGTGTGAAAATCATATATATATATATATATATATATATATATATATATATATATATATATATATATATATATATATATAACAAAAAGAAAAAAGTGAATTCTAGTTGCAAATATCTAAAATTAAGTCTTAATATTCAAGGTATAATATAGCAATAATCATGTTATTTAAGAATTACGATTCATGAGGCACCTAGTAGAAATCAAACACTTACTACTCAGCGGTCAAGCACTAAGTCATTTAACCATTATCCAACATAAAGGCACCCATCAATGAAAAGAAAAAAAAATTGTGAGGGCTTTGTCAAGAGAAAATATAGAAATACATAAAATTGAAAGTGGAATGTTTTAAGGCAATAAACCAGAGGGGTTGTCAAACTTTTTTGACCAGGGACCCCACTTTCGTTTCTCTTCCTTCCTAGCAACCCCCATTTAAATTGTGTTTGAACCGCAAAATTTGCCAATGTTAAATGTATGAAAAGATAAAAAATTTGGATACGGTTCCAGATTCTGCTCCCCCACCCCAAATATATTTAAGAAAATATATTGAATAAACCCAATGAATCGAGCAAATAAAATATTAGGTACACCAAGCAGGCATGCAGATAGGTGGTTGTTGGAACCTTATACATTGTACTCGATGAGAGAGTCCATCATATATGTGGTGAATTATTGATTATATGATCATAAATCCACTACCCTGCTGTATAAGAAACAGTCTATTAATTTTGTCTGCTAAATGAGCCATCTCCTTTGTTATAAAAGAAATATTATTCCACTAATTCCATGGTGAGTAACAATATCAATATAATTAAAAGGGGTGTTTCTCCCTCCATCCCATCTCAAAATAAATGCAAGATTCTCCAACTCTGAACCATAAGTAAATTTCAAGATTGGATCAATGATAAGGATACACCAGACTAAATGGGGTATTATATTGAATATATCAAATATCTTCCACCCTAATTATTTTGTACGCATTAGGGATGGTGGGGGGGATATTTTTGTGGCCCAAATTATATTTCAATATTTTTCCCCCAAAAG